CATATACTTATCAAATATTCTTTTTTTTTACAACATTAATTATACAATGCTTGATATAGTTTATAAGCTAATATGAGCAAGCAAATACTAAATCTTGAAATACACAGTCTACAATTAAATCTGATATTATAATAAATTGCTAATAATATTAATAAGAAGTGAATAATAAGAATGTTAATCATGTACGAATGATATATATATATAACTATTACTAAAAAATAAATTGTGGAATTTATCATTGAAATTTATTCAAGTATATAATATTACTTTTGTATTAATTTAAAAAAAGTTTATTTTTAATTTAAAATATTACATTAATTTATAATTTAAAACATACACAAATATTTAAACTATTATAGATTATAACTACATTTAAAACTATATTTAATAATCTCTCTAATAAATTAATTCTTTATTTAGTTGAAACTCTGGTACGTTTATTCCATGAAAAATTAGTACCATAGCTACGAGGCTTAGGATTATTAATATTTGGATTTTGAATATAATATTTCCATTTCATTTTATTACAATGTGCAATAGCTTCTTCCTTTGTAGCAAATGCCACATGAAGATTAGACAAAGGATCTCCACTATGAAATAAAATATAATATTAATTAAAGTTTAACAAATAAAATTTAATATTATACTCACGTTGAAGTCCATCCCATAAGAGGATTCTCCCAACGTTCACGTGTATCAAAGTCTATTTGCCAATGATTTATATTATTTGTTCCAGACTGCATAGCATTTTTTGCAGGACAATAAATACGAACTGTACGAGACTTTATATGTTCTTCTGGAACTCCTGAACAAATACCAACATCTTCAGCATCTGATACAATAATTACAGCTTCCTTTCTAGCTTCTTGAGCTAATTTTTCTTCTTTAGATACCAAATCAGTTTTGATTTTTCTTACTATTATTTCACCATCTTCTTTAGTTTCTTTATCCGTATTTGCGAAAAATCTTTTTGTTAATCTATAAGGATTACAATATTTTTTTAATTATATATAATTAATTACTTATAAATATAAAATTATATCATATGTAATGAAATTTTTTCTTAAATATACATATGAAAATAAAATAAGACATAACTAACCCATATCTCATAAAAGTACGATTTATATATAATAACGATAACACTCGTAATGCCATTTTGTATTATAAATTAAAATGATATATACAATATTGTTACTATTGTTATCAATTTTACTAAAAAACTCTGATAATTAAGATAAATTTTGCGCATGTATTAATATCTATATACACAAAAAGTTAATACATAATTGAATATATAATATTTATACGATAAATAATTATGTTCATAAAAAAAAATTACACATAATATTATAAAATAAATATTATAAGTACATAATATTTATATATATATATACATAATTTAACTTTTTACTTAATTCAGTTGTCTTAAACAGTACATTTAATAGTTACGAAAATATTAAAACTTCTATCAAATTCCCTGTCACATCATGGCTGGCAGCATAAGTAAGTTCCTATATGAAATCAGAATAAATACAGATTTA